CAACTGCGTCTTGTATTTCGATAAGAATACTTTTGGTTTTGATTACCTACTCAAAATGCTTATAAAAATTGAAAACATACCAGTTAAAATAGTAGAATTATTTTGTTTTGCTTTCAGTTAGATTTAAATATCCTATGTCCGAACTAGAATATTGTAGTTGGTAACAAAAGAATAGTCACAATCATTTCAGTGGTTTTGAAGATTAATCCATAAACAACGTACACATAAAGGCAGTACAAAGTGTGTTTTTTCACAGTAATCTATCTATATTACTACATAGTGTAAAACAAAGTCGCTATCCGCCGTCTGTCTGTCCCTATGTATGCTTAGATATTTAAAACTACGCAACGGATTTTGATGCGGTTTTTTTAATAGATAGGTACAGTGATTCTTACGGTAGGTTTATGTGTATAATATACGTGTATTTTTTTTTAAGGGGGGAAAATCATCGAATGACTGCTCCCGCCTGGGTGAGGCGGAAGAGAGTGTCAGACTCTTATAGACTAAAAACTACCCCGTTCCTTCTCCTGCACGTCGAGCCGGAGCCCCGGTTACCCGTTAGGTTCTCCGCGACAATATACGTGTATTGCACCCGTATGAAGGCGCGAGGCGGGTCGCTAGTATATATGTAAATGTATATATAAAAATGAATACCTTTTTTCCTTGGTCATGGCATCACGCGTGAATGGCTGGACCGATTTTACTAATTCTTTTTTTATTATTATTAGGATTACTATATTTCTAAGACAGCAAAAATCCTGAAAATCCTACGGGAAATAACGCGTACGAAATCGCGGGCAAAAGCTAGTCGTAGTATTAAAATATCAATTTTAGTCGGGACATATTTATATGTCAACCATTCATCGCGCAGCAAACACACAAATGTGTGAATTTGAATTGACAAAATAACACGAGAAATAGTCAGATATTATTTTATTAGTGTAATATTTTTATAACATAAAAATTCTATGACTGCGACTGCCGGGCAAGGGGTCTCGGGTTCGATTCCCGGGTCGGGCAAAGTATTACTGGGATTTTACAAAAATCTTAATTGTAGCACGGTGTCTGGAATTGTGCCCGGTATATGGCAATAGGCTCACCCCCTATTACATGGGACTCATAACATAAATAGTGAAAAGTGGGTGTAACATTGTGCAGTGGTATATTGTGCACCTCTGACTACCCCTTCGAGGATAAACGGCGTGATGTTATAATGATGATGATAAAAATTATATTTATCAACTTTATAAAATAGATATCAAACTTGCGATGTTGCGATTTTTTGTAGCGTCACGTGAGTGAACTCGCGATTTTTTGAAGCGTGCAGTATGAGACATTAAAGTCAATACGGCGAGCCTACACAGTAACAAATTAGTACGGGTGGCTGAGGGGGTAACATTCGACGCTATTTACCATACGTGGGCCTACTATTTTCATGGTTTTTTTTCGTTGAGTTTTTACGCCATTTTCCGTGGCCCCGCCGGGCGACCGGCCCACGGGTTCGAGCCTTCTTTTTTTTAAATCAGTAAATTGCATATTTGAAAAACTACTGCACAGCGGACGTCGATTGAATAGGTACGTACCTATAGGTACTTAGCAAATTTCGGCTGTGGACGTTACTTCAATACGGATTTTCGAATCGATTTATTATTCATTTCGATACTAAAATTATGAAAATGAACCAAAAACTTTCATAAATTATTATGTTCGGCTTACTCACGTAATAATTTGACGGGAAACTCGACTAGTTTCAAGCCATGCTAGAGGCTCGTATTCATGAGCAGCATTTCGCGACCCGCGACGCGGCGACTGTCGCGCTGCTACTGGCTACTCAAGTCATGTACACACAAGTACATAATAATTTATTTAGTATGTCTCACGAAAGTTACAATAAAAAAAACTTTCATTTATTAATCGTATGCTAAAAAAATAATTCGAATATTCCAATTAATTACTAAAACGCATTATAATTCCTTTTGTTTTAACATCACAAAACCATCATAATTACGAACGTGCACTAATTGCGTCGTCGATCAAAAAATTTAAAGCGAACACAACAATGGTAATTGAAAATTTTAAATTTAGACGATTATGTCTGAACAATCGAGTGAGTTGAATCGAGTCGAGTGCCCACGCGCCGCTCAGTGGGGGCTGATTTAATATTGGTGTCCCTGTGACGTCAGTAAGTGTCGTAAACCTGAGGGTTACTGAGTATTGTGTGAAAAACAACAGGCACGCCAGTTTAATAATAATTCGTATTGCATAACCACACTCGCGTCTGAACAACGAACTTTTTGTAGCATTTACAAGTGCCTTTACCAAATATTACATGCTTTACCATTGTAAATGGAGTTAATTCGAGTTGTATCGTTTATAAAATTACCAAAAATCATTTTATTAATCAAGTTAATGCACCCAATATTACAAATATCCGACGATTAGTCAAAAAATGTAAATTTTGAAGCACAATCCCGCCCAAAAACAAAATATTAATTGAATCCATCAAATAAAGTTCATTACTCACACAATTATACCGGATACGCTGATAGCTACAAATATATCAATCTAGATAACATCAAAATGTACTAATTGACTTTTTTATTAACAACACTTAGCTCTTGAAAAGACTGTTTCGTTGGCCGAGTGGTCAAAATTGCGACGATTCCCGGGTGAAGCAAAGATTTACTGGGTTTTTAAAAAATATCTCAGTAGTAGAACGGAGTCTGGAATTGTGCCTGGTATATGGCAATAGGCTAACTCCCTATTACATTGAACTCATAACATAAATAGTGACAAACTTGTGTTATGTTATACAGTGTCATTAAGTGCCGGAATGTGCACTACCTCTTCGAGGATAAACGGTGTGATGTTATGTATATTATGTTATGTTAGCTCTTAAAAATGTAGGAATTCATTTGTACACTCACTCTTCCGAACAACCTAAGCCATATATAAAGGTTTTGATGTGACTGATTGTAATGTAAAACCATTAGACAACATTAGTTTTATAAGTTAACTAGCCACTTCCGTGCGGTTTCACACGCTCTGCTCAGCTCCTATTGGTTGTAGCGTGATGTTTTATATCCTATTTTTTTTTTTTTTTTAAGGGGGGAAAATCATCGAATGACTGCCCCCGGTTTTATATCCTATAGCTATCCTCGATAAATGCGCTATCCAACACAAAAAGAATTATTCAAATCAGACTTGTAGTTCCGGAGATTAGCGCGTTCAAACAAACAAACGCTTCCGCTTTATATAATAGTATAAGATGTAGCAAAATCGTCCTAATTGCAGTTGAAATAAAGAACTGAATTCTTCATATAGCTGTTATAGTCAGGCGTTATAGCAACCTCCAAAGTGGCAAGTAAGTATACAATGATAGAACTTCATAACAGTGTTTACTGTCACCCTAATGCGCCTGTTTTGCGCAATTAAAGTTCGAAACAAACTGTAATGAGTCGTTTGTTATAGTAAAGATGACGATTCAAGAATAGGATGATATTCTGGGTTTTTAGATTGTCTATTACACTATATAGGGTCATAGTGTGCACCTAAATTCTACAACAGAGCGATTTGGTGATTTGGTCATCACAGCACCTAGTCGTCGTGGTGACCCTGAGGTTTAAGACGCCCGCTTTTCATGCATGAGGGTGCAGGTTCGAAACCTGCCAACGGCAAGTACCAATGTGACTTTTTCGAGTTATATGTACTTTCTAAGATTATCTAGACAGACAACACTGATAAATAGTGAAGGAAATCATCGTGAGGAAACCCGGGCTTATAATTTTTAATTATAAGACTGTAATCGTCAACCCGCATTGAGCAAGCGTGGTGATTAATGCTCAAACCTTCTCCGTTCGAGAAGAGGCTTTGCTCAGCAGTGGGCATTTAAGCATTTGACTGTCATATAAACATGTAATTGAAACTTTATCCTATATATATAAAATAACCGGTACTTGCAAAATTAAATCCCTAAATCAAAATTATTCTCTATGAATTCTAGACTTCATACTATGGCAAGATTTTAAAACATTCTTAAGAATACTCTTTACAGGACTCGCAACAAAGTCATCTAATGATATTTACGACAACACGGTTAGTGCGGTGGCTGGGCAACCGGCTACCACGCAACGTGTCGCGGATTTCTTAACTCTTTGTGTGATCCACAAATTATTGTTATGGGTCTGGGTGTCATGTGTATGTGAACTTGTATGTTTGTAAACGCAACGACACAGGACAAAATCCTAGGATAGGGCAACGTTTTTTTTAAGAAAAAAAATATGATATCCAATTTGACCAATAGTATCTAAAACTAAACAAATATAACCCTTACTACAAAGACAATACGGTATAATGACTTAAGCATTATTACATCAATCTTCTGCAATGAATAAAAACAAAAAAAAACGTACGCATAGAATGTATACACTAGACAGGAATATTCGGAACGCTGATCACATCTGTAATCCATTTACAGAGCGATAAATGAAAGGTAATTGAAAGGAAATTACGCAATAAATGGAAGGTTATTATTGAATTTAATGTTAAATTAATCGTAAGCCCCCCTTCTAACCATCTGTCGTGTATACCCCCCACCGAACAACCGTTTTATATTTAAGAGATGTACTTACAATGTTATTTTGTTATTGAGTGCTTTTATGTATTAATTGAATTGTTTCAAGTATCTACAAGGTTTTGAATTTGCCTTCCCTATATGCTACCCTGATTGTTGTTTATAGATTTCATACTCTTGTAGAAGCTATATACGTCCCCTATCGCAAAACTTAATCAAAAATTAAGTACAAAATTCAATCTGACGAATTCAGTGTAAAAACTAACTTTATTGTTTTGGGATGAGTTCATCTTATCTACTACAGCTTGACTTTATCTACGCTCAAAAAGTTATAACAATCTGTGTGTAAGAAAGCTAATTGGTTCAAACGTCTAAAAGAAACAGTGATTGATGTAGTAAAGCAGTTGGCAACACAATCACAGAAACAATGTCGTGCGTCGAGCCGAGCGCAGTGTTCGACACTGGACACCGTGTATTGGGCAGTCCGCGACACCCGAGAATGTGTCTGCATAATACATCGCTGTACGCTGTTGCTGTACGTTGGACTTTAATTATATATCTGCTACAATTTCGCCTTTTTTCGAGTATTTTTCACATTTCGTCCCCCCATACACCCCTGTTCACCCACTGCCGAACGGCCGCGGAAAAAACGGCCCGCGCGTGTGTGTGTAACGTGACAGTGTATTGTTGCACTACAAACGACGCCCCACACCCGACGTGACACAAGAAAATACAGAGCCGACTCGATAAACAAGACAATTAACTTCTACCGAGTAATGAATAGAAAAATTGTCGTAATAAAAAATACACTTTTAATGCAATTAAGCTTGTAGAACACGGGCAGGAGAGGCCGATAAGCCGCGCTCAACTTTTCCTGTAACAGGCTGTTATTTTACGATTTAAAATCGGTTCTCAACCCGTTAATGACGCGAGGTACAAGTGCAGATCGGCGGCTCCGTTCGGCCGCGGACCAATCTATTTAATAACCCCCGTCGGTGACACCCCACCCGGCGGCCATCGCCAATTTTCGCCCCCCTCGGCCCTCTCTGGCCCCCTAGCACCCGCCCTGAAAAAAATCCGGAGCGTTTTAAAATTAATGAGTAAAAATCTACACACACACCCGAGCGGACAATACGACGCGTGTGTGCGCGGACGCCCGATAATGACCCGCGCTTTGCCGCCCAAATGAGGACGCCATACAATCATGTTTCTTCCGTCGATCAGAGAACCGCGGCTCGCATTTCCATGTTAGCGCACATCCCCATATCCCGAGACTAGAAAACCGTTAGCGCGACTAGTGCCCGTTTCAGACGGAATCCGTGATCGCCTAGCCTTTTCCATTAGGACCAACTATCCGAGAAAAAAATGGAGTACAAATTGAAATTTCGCCGGTTCGGGCGCTAATTCAGAGCGAAACGGCGCCGCGACGCGAAACGAACGCAGTTAGATAACATTTGTAGAGGCGAGGGGGGACGGGTGTCACCCCTACGCAACGCCGTTTTTATTTTGGCCGGCCCTTGCCCCCTTACCCCCTTCGTTCGTCCAACTTCATCTGAATAATTACTGATTTTTTCCGTGTACCGCTGATTATTCCGAATGTTACTTGTTGATGATAATTTTTTTTTTCAACTTTTTTCATTAGTCAGCGCCCGGTGGAGTTTTGATTGTGCTTTTAAGCTTTTTGTATTCAATTTGTTCCCAATGTTTATGTGTTCCAATATAGAATGTATGAAATAAATTGTATTTGCTTATTCGGTCCAATTCAAAATAACCGCTTTGTTTAGAATTACAAAATTGGTTTCCTTGACCATTACATCTAAAGCTTAGTTTTCAGGTAACTATACTATACATGAATCTACTGTAGGTATATAGAATAGAGCAATTTTCCAAAAGCGTGTTCCTACAAAGTTCCGATTCAAAATAAACAACAACAGTATCGAACAATGTACACATACAGTATGCTCCACAAAGCCCCTATGGCATACGCGGGTGCACGCGTAATAGGTAAACGAACCAAAAAAATTCTTATCCGCCTATCTCATAAAGAAATATTGCTAAAGTTATTCAAGTTCTTATCTTTTCAATTTTCAATCGATAAATGTAATTGGAAACAAAGATACGCGTATACATTTATACACGCATATTTATCATGCTTTACACTAATCCATTAATCATTAATAAAAAAATATCTCGAGAAACAAACTCCGGTCACGAGTCAAACGCTAAAAATTAAATTCTGATCGAGTTAACTGAAAGCGAATTTGTACGAAACACGTGCTAAAAGCTCTAAAGAAACACGAATAAAAAACTAATCGAAAACTTTAATTATCATGCTTATTCGACAAGTGACAAGTCGGACCGATGCCGATCGCTTTGGCAAGGATTTCGGTAGAACCACCCAACGCCCCGCGGGGCCGCATTTTTTCCACCCACCACCGAAGGGGTTGATTTTTTAAACTGATGACGCGCTTTCATTCCGCGCTGTGCAACTTGGCCGCGCGGCTGTATGTGTTACCGGCCGTTGATAAATAAATTAAAAAAAAACGTGAACGCTTTGTCGATAGTGCGCGGCGTTTCTTTTTCGCGGGCGTTATCTATGCTCTATTTTTCCGTTCTAAATACAACTTTTATATAGTAAAGAAAAGTTTTCGCGCGTTCGGATAGCCGTTTGTGGATGAATATTTTTGAAATAGAACGATCGCCACATAGTTTGTTCGGGCGTTTGAAGTTCGTCGAAGTTTGCCTCAAGTTTTGAAGGAGTTCGCGTCCGAAGATTTTTTGTAAATATTTAGTGATTTTACAAAGTTTTTTCAAAGGAATGTTAGTTCCGCAGAGACAGTGTCAGTGCAATCTTTAGGTCTGGAGAGAATGACATTATCCTTCGTGAGTAATAATCTTAAGCAATTATTTTATTTATAAAAAATATTACATTTTTTTGACAAATGAACTGTGCGTAACAGAAAAGTTGCGCCGTAAAACGCAAAGCATAAATAAATCAAATTCAAATAATATACACCGCTTCTTTTTAAAAAAAATACAGTTTTGCTAATATTTAAAACATAGTATTTTTAGTCTTTGGTCCTCAATAACTATCTACCTAAAACATTTAACAACTCGAAACGTGTGAATATTTATAACAAAAGTTCCAAGTACAGTACCTACCGTCAGACTGTAATTATTACAAATTAAAGAATTATTGTTAATTATTATTCAAGGCGTTTCCTTACTACTTATATTTTAATAGTAGTTAATAATAATTAAAAGTCAAGTAGCTTGACCTTATTCCGTACTTATAATAATAATTGCAATATAAATACTTTATGACCACAAGCTGCACAATGCTTCATATAAATAAGAATCGAATAAAAGATGGTTTCCTTAATTAAAATATTAATAACCTGTATGCAAGTACTTATTTTAATGCAATAAACCCTTTTATAATACTTTACTTTTTGGTCTTATTTAATAATAAGTCATAATGCATTTTTAGTTGTTTTCGTTCGCAACGGAAATCATTTATCATCGATTTATCGAAATAGTATTTTAATTAAATGTTATTTGTTTATTTTTACGAGGTTTTATTTATTTATTAGTGGGTGAAGCTAACTCTACACTGTAATACGGAGAATATTACGATATTTTTGTATAGAAAAATTAACTAAGTACCCATTATTGCTAACGTTTTAAAATCTATAAAGTACTAAAAATATTCACAACAGATTTAGAATCAATAAATTTTTAAAATAAAAATTAAATAAAATCTAGAAATAATTAACCTTTTTACTAGTACCTATTCAAATCGCTTATTATATAACATTTCACCTAGAATAATATGTTAAAAACACCATTTAGGTATGCCAAACATTAACCTAATAATAATGACAGTGGAAAATTGAGTTTATTTCCTAAAAAGACTAGTATTTAAATATAGAAAACCCCTTACATAATCTTTCTGGCCGTTAACTATTCTTATTGTAATTTAGGGAATATATACTTTAATTCTAACCGAATAGAGTTGAGTATCATAATTTTAAGAGATTTTGTACTGATACCAGAACCCACTAACGGGAAAATCAAGAACCGTTCTCAATTTAAAATCTTTGTAATCTAATTCTTTGACACAACGTTCATTCGACAAATTTCAAAAATCGAACTTATTCTGACGATATTAAAATTGCTTATTATTTTCCATCATAAGTGAACTCTTTGATTCCACATTCTTTGTTAGATCTATCACAGCTTTATGCTCTAGATTAGCTGTAAGGCTATCCATCACTACATAGTATAAAACAAAGTCACTATCCGCCGTCTGTCTGTCCCTATGTATGCTTAGATCTTTAAAACTACGCAACGGATTTTGATGCGGTTTTTTTAATAGATAGAGTGTTTTTTAAGGAAGTTTTACATGTATGATACATGGATATTGCACCAATGCGAAGCCGGGGCGGGTCGCTAGTTATATCTATAATACAAAAATAAATTGCTGTTCATCAGTATCGCTAAAACTCGAAAACGGCTGAACTGATTTAGCTAATTTTGGTTTTAAGGTTTAAACGGTGAGAATTTAAAAAGACAACGCCATTAAGGCAATACAAAGTCTGCCGGTCAGTCAGCTAGGTATAAATACATTTCAAAATCAATCAATACGCATAATTTGGGGTATAAACGATACCCCAAAAAGTGCTCAAGTCAAGCTCATATTTGAAAAACGGACCATAATATTAGTAATAGGATCTCTATTAATTACGTGTGTATATAGATCTACCAGATATAGTTAATAGAAGGGAGAATGATTACCCCCCGGTCGAAAGCTGTCGTTATAGAGGGTCAGTGTCATCGCTAAAACAAAACAGAATTTTGAGGGCGAGACAGATGTAGTAATATGTTCAGCTAGCTAGTTATTAATGTATTGTAATAGGGTATTAGTGGTCGCAAGTGCGACTGCTGACTATGTGGTTTCGAGTTCGATTTTCAGGTCGGGCAAAGTATTATTCGGTTATAAAAAAATCTCAGTAGTAGCATGGAGTCTGGAATTGTGACCGGTATATGATAATAGATTCACCTACGTACATGGGACTCAAAATAATAAATAGTGAACAGTGGGTGTTATATTGTACAGTAGCATTAAGCGCCGTAATGCGCACCTCTGCCTACCCCTCAGGGATAAAAGGTGTGATGTTATATATTCCTAAAGCTGGAGAGTTTGTTTGATTGTTTAAACGCGCTAATCTCAGTAACCACTGGTCCGATTTGAATAAATATTTTTCTGTTGGATAGTCCATTTATCGAGAAAGACTATCTCACTATCACACTGATATTATAAACGTGAACGTTTCTTCGTTTGGATGTTTGTATGTGAGTTCGTCATTCACGCTGAAAATACTGAACGGAGTTTAATGGAATTTGGTGTAAAGGGTATGGGCTGACTTAGGTGATAGGATACTTTTTATTCCGATTAAATGCTCCCATGGAATAAAACAGTAATAAGCGGACAAAGACGCGGGCAAGCGCTGAGAAGAGCGAGGGAAAGTGCGCAGAAATAGATATATTAGTAACTAAATATGACGTTATTTTTTTTTAAAGAGCATATTGCGTCTTTAAATCCGGTAACATACTTGTATCTCGCCTAGAGTTGCGAATACCTATGGATGGTGAAGATTGCTTACATAAAAATGAGTTTGATTCTCCTCTGCCAATCTATTGAAGGAAGATGTTAACAGCTTAACAAATGAAATTAGATAAGCTAGCTTGATCATAGAAACGATATTAAAAGAAGAAATCAGATCGGATATTTAAAAAGTATCTATCTAACGCCTGAATGAAAGGCTACTCAGTTTTGAGTTGTACTCAAATATCGTGCCGTCTCTGTCATTTTATAAGGAATTTGTAGAGACAGAACTATACTTAACCTGTCGTGTGTTTTAACGTGGATCCACGCAAGACACAATGCATTTTCTAATGCGTCTTATACATGGGTATTCAAGTAGTTAAACGCGACTTAAAATTGAGTAACTTTTGAGTATTTCGGTGTATTTTGATTTTTTGATCTTTTTCTATATCAAGCTATAATATGTATAAACAAGACAATGTAAATAAAACACGTATAAGGCTAAATCTTATGATTTAGAATTAAATAAAACCAATGTGTTGCTTCTTAAAATGAAGAAACGACATTTATGTTTATTATTCCACATATTTTGTAACACAAAATTGTTATAATACTGACGTTTAAACAAGCCACAGACTATTTGACAATTTATAGTATTCAAAAAAAAAATAAAAAATAATAAAAAAACTAAAACCTATTTTCTTTACACACGTTTCAGTGGACAATATTGAAATATTTTAAAGAGTGTTTCACGTGTGTAAATTAAGATGTTTAGCTTCAGTAAAGTAATAAATATAGGATTAATTAGACATGCAACTGCATCTAAAATAACAGTAAATTACTTAATATCTTATTATTTACAATTACAAACGTTATTGTACAATAATTATATTTTATTTATCTAAATGCGAATATTACATGACGTACGCAGTTACAAACAAACAACAATTTTATACTTAACACTGGAAATTCATCCCCTAAATTTGTTCATACAAAAGTAGTCTCTAAATATTGGAAATGAGGTCTATAATGTAGTGGAGAGCGGTCACCGGTGACCGCTTGGGAATGTATGGTTTAACATTGGAAATTATGAGATTGGAGACGCGCATTACGATTTTTTTTTTAATTTTTACACAATAATCTGTGATTATTTGAGAAAACCTATTCTAAAGTGATCCTTCTTCCCCAGGCGGAGTCAGATCGGGAGAGCGGCGCGAGCTCGCCGGAGGGGGGCGCGTCGCGTGCGCAGTTAGCTGAGCCGCGCACGCCCTCGCCGCGCTCGCGCACCCCACACCAGCAGCCACATCTGAATGGCTCCAGTGAGTTCGTACTACATTCATTTATTACCTTTTAATAGTCTTAAGTCTAAAACCCTACATTTTTGACCAACTCACGAAGAACATCTTAAATTCCACAAACTGCTCGACAAGCGTGCGCATCATGGCTAATCTCAAAGGAGACTTGTTCAGCACTGGACATCCTAGTAGCTGATGAAAAATGCACTTAAAGTCACAGCTCTTGATATCACATTTTAAAATTTAAAGTAAAATATTCTCGCCCTCGTTACCTGATGGGATTTGTCGAATGTTGCGTGTATCCATGGGTGGCACTTGTCGCTATGAGGTGATTCGTCTGTTCATTTGTAACCTGCTTATATATAAAAAGCTAAGACAATTACAATTCTTTGTGCAAAACTTAAAATAGTCACAAACATCAAACTTTAACGATCAATAATTTTGCAACCAAACAATTATTGTCCACGTAAACTATCTTGTGTGGCAGGTCAGAAGTTAATCTTATGATGATTGCATTCCACCCATTATTAACGTCAGCTTATGATTGCTGCGATTGCATAATAACTCTCTATTCATTTGCTAACTTTGTAATATTTGCACCTAATTCCATACATATCAAAAGCTTCTGACAGTTCACTGCTGCTCTATGAGCGTCTGCTTCTTCTCTTTAAGAGAGTTTGTCGTAATTTTCATGCTCAATAAGGAGCGGGTTAGAGACAACAGTTTAAAAATGCTCTAGCTTATTAAATAACAATACAGCTCGGCCTCTGTCAATTGTGTCCCATCATCGGCTCTTACGATATCATTAGGAAACTCATTAAATTGTGATGATATCTTAAAACCTTGTTCTATACTAGATTAAACTAGAAAATCGAAGAAGTAAGCTTTCACACAATTAAAGAACAATAGGTTGCGGTCACCGGTGTCCTCGCAGTGTTTGACAGTTTAAATAAACAGAATCACTCCACACGTTAAAAAAATATTTGAATGTAAAGAAATTCATTTATTAAACAAGGTACGATTTCAATGTTGTTTGAAGTACAAAAAATCTAGAGTTTAGAACAGTTGTTTAAGTGTTTCATAACATAAACAAGGAAAACATAATGATTATCAAGAACATTTATCAAACTCTTAATGATATTCCCTAAATAATACCCTTCCTTCAGTCGCGTAAAAATAAATTCAAAAAGCTCTAGATCCCGCAAACTGTATAATGAGTCCAAATAATCAACGTATTTCTCTTGTCCACAGTGGCGTCGATGTTCCAAAATCTGCAAAACCTGGCGAACATGCAACAGAACATGCCACCGATGTCGCAACAGCTACAGCAACAGATGTCGCAACAAATGTCGCAACTTGCTGCGAATCTTCAAGGCTTATCGTCTATGCCCTCCAACCCTGTTATCAATTCGCCTTTGAATTTGAGCGTTAGCGCACCTGGTAAGAAAAAATCTTATTTATTATTCTTTAAAAAAAATACAGATGAATTTGATCTGATGTAGCGGAATTATGGGTATTTGCAAATCGAGTAAAGTGCCATTAAACGTTTAAATTTTCGAAAACTCTCAGTACAAAGCATTCAGTATCCAGAAACGATAGGCACCTTTTCTTTTTCATGCACTACTAGAGTATTTTGTACCATATTATGCAATACCAAAAAAGGCCCTAAAATACTTCCTTGTGGCATTCCAGAACTCTTTAATACCCATTGAAAAAATATGGTTACTAGATTAACATCTATACTAAAATTTTATTTGTACTACAAATAGTTCTAACATAGCTTGGTTATAACAGCAATATATCGACTAAGGGCCGTTATAATAACCGACTTCAGTAACTTTTACTGGTATTACTATGAAACTGGTATTCATATCTTCTAGAATATTTCCTTCAATACTTTAATAATCATTTACCTATGGGATATCTTCCGGACACGGTGGTAGGTGACGATTAACTTGACACTTCTAATCAGTTGTAATTATTGACATCCGAATAGTTATTTGCTGTAATTAGAAAACAACAATTAAAGTTGTTCATGGCAGAAGCGTTAAAATGATGAAGTCATATGAGTCTCGAATCGAAACATACGTAGTTTCTAGTAACTTATTTTAACGACTTATGAAATCATTGGCATACACTATATGCATCATCATCAATAACTACTGCGTTTTATATGTAAACCTACTCAAAAGTGTGACACATTATTTCCCTAAACACAGTCACACACAATTTATCCACACATTGACTCTATCTTTCAGTTCCGTCCCTCACAAAACAGAAACAAAAAATCCGGATTTCCATTAAAGTGCTTTAGTAAATCATTTTTTGCCACTTTAAGCAAATTAGATTTCATTCCCGCATCATCATCAAGATAAAACAAATATTCAGAAACCGATTAAATAACGTTGACAGGCGAATACACGTCGCTAGTCGGGAATACAGAAAATATTTTTCCATTTAAGCTAATATTATGCAATTGAAAGCGTCACCTCAGTAACTTAATTACCATTTTTCAGGACATTAGCATTTCAAAATGTCTGGTATTCTTCAACGGAGGATATGCCACTAATTAGACTGAATTAGACAGATTGGGATAATCAGAAATACACGGTTCGCGCATTAAAACTCTTAACTTCGAAATCACGTGAGCCGTAATTAGGTGATTACCGAATCCAATCGATATAATGAATTCAAGATAGCGGCTTCACTCGCCCGCCCATTAAAGCTATGCGGTAATGGACGAAAAAACCTATTTAAATAATGAGTATAATTACATATTTTTTTCACGAACGCACGGATATTACGACTGTTGCGGTATCATTAAGAGTTTTATTGTCTTAATAGAGCTAATTATACATTTTTTTCGGTTCTTAATTGATGCGCCTTAGGAAAGAACATTTATTACAAAATGTGAAATGTCATGGTTTAAATGAATACGTTATGTTAATGTCGAGTTTAACGGGCTTGTAAGGTATGCAGATAATATTTTAGATTTTCTTTAGAACCGTTTTGTTCGCAGTGAATTAGTTTTGGTCGGTTGCATATGGGTTTTGGGTAATTTTCTGTCGTTACTATGGTTTTGGTGCAGTTGGGGCTGACGCGGCGGGTTATAATTATAATTACGATATTTCATTTTATTGTTTAATGACTTAAGTAGAAAGTCGTCGGTCGACCCGTGTTGCACGACGTTTCGTCACTCCGAGTTACCATGACCGACGTGTTAACATTTAGTCATCGATAATCACATGTTTTATTTGCCAAATCCAATTTTTATTATGAATTGAAAAAGATTATATGATTTTTTAATGTTCGATTGATTGATTTGGTATGAATTCGCGTAGGTTTTGGTGTTCTTATAAAACATCGTGATAAATTAGCGACGCGCATTATAATGGTCTTTTTTCTAGGGTTATGTACCTAGTAAAACTATAAAATATACATTAATGTTTAGATTTTATGTTCATAACACGTGACTAAATGTTGTACAACGATACGGATAATTTGTTAATTACAAGTAATGTGTAATCTTAATCACATAAAAAGTTACTCGTTTCACAAATTATTTGCTTCGTCCAGTTTTATAACTAACAGCCATTTGTTCGTACCTACGAAAAGGTATATTTCGTAATGTTTTTTTTATTATGAACAAGAATAGTGTAAGATTACTATGTAAAGTACACCAAATGACACCCAATAATAATTGAGTGGGCTCATATAATAAAATATGATCAAATTTAACATAACATAACATCACGCCTTTTATCCCTAAAGAGGTAGGCAGAGGTGCATATTATGCAATTGTACAATGTAACACCAACTTTTCACTGTTTATTTTATGAGTCCCATGTAATAGAGGGTGAGCCTATTGCCATATACCGGGCACAATTCCAGACTCTGTGCTACTACAGAGATTTTTTAAAAAACCCAGTAATACTTTGCCCGACCCGGCAATCGCACTTGCGACCACTCGGCCAACGAGGCAGTCATGATTAAATTTAAAGGCAAAAATTGATGTTACATGTTACAAGCACAACTTTTTGTTTCGATTAGTACTTCTTAATTTATAATCTCTCGCCCGATAATGATTTAGAAGTCTAATCAGAAAATATAATAATCATTACTCAACTCAAAGATTCTTATTTAGAACCTCATTTGGTTAGATACTCTAAGCTCAACGATTGCGTTTGCTAATCCACAAGACAGTCTAGGTATGTACAATAACATCGAAACAACAAATCTCATAAACATATTCTTCTTCTTCTTCAAAAGGTATGGGATCACCAAATCCCGTGGCGAACAACAATATGCTACCGCCTGCGATGCCGTCCCCCATGCCGCAGCTAATTCTTGCCTCCGGTCAGCTGGTGCAGGGAATCCAAGGAGCCCAGCTGCTCATACCGACTTCACAGGGTAAGAAACAGTATTAACTTAACATATCCATGAGTATCATAATTGAAACATATTATAAATGTGTTTAGATCACCCGATAAGTTATTAAAAACTTGTGAAAATCAGGTCTTGCTGTCTATAAGGTCTAGCGTTCATATTGTTGTATGTAGACCCGATAATATGTTCAAAATGAATCATACTATTGGATCTTACTGGACTTCACATTTGAAAATACCTATCAAAATTAATGAAAATGATATAAAATAACCAGAATCGTAACGCTTAATTAAAAGTTCAATGTCTGAAGGACGTGGTAAATCCGTGTCGAACATAATTTGACATAGACTCAAACATGTGTAAGCCTGGATAAAAAATAACGAGTTTTTATTAACTCTATTCGATATTAGTTGATGAAAATTGTTGTAGTCTTGATCTCATCGTAGAACTTCCATAGTTTTAGAATCTTCATACTTCAGCAAGACGTTCAATTTAATTTAGTTATCATAGTAATTCAATGACAAAAATTTCTTAAAATTATTTTCTCCTTACACAGGCATAGCGACTCAGACGATCCTAACAATACCAGTCAACCACGTGAACTCGAACGACCAGATGGTAAACCTGGCCCTAAACAATGGCCAAGTAGTGTCCACGTCACTCGCCAACCTCCAAGCCATGGCCCAACCTCACCAGCTGTTGAATTCCAACCCCCAACAGACGCCCAACATTCGGCCAAACATGCTGAACCCAACATTATCGAACGCGCTGCTAAACCCTGGACTGCCAAACTTCTTGTCTAACGGCGCAGCCAATGCCCAAGAATTACTCCAGGCGTTGCAACAGCAGCAGCAGCAACAGCAACAGCCTCAAGCGAACCATAACCTTCTACAAACGGTTCAGCAGAACAGTATGCCACAGCAAATGCCAGGCAGGCGATCCTCGTCTCCTCGTCCGGACAGGCACTATAAAGAGAGAGAAAACTTCGCTGACAGATTCGGAGGTGGATCCAGAGAAAGGAACGAGAGAGAAAACTCAGGATCAGCAGCCATGAACAGCATCAACAGGTGAGTTTAGTTCTAGTCCGTTTTTAGCTCTGTGGATCGGGAAAATGTGTTCGATCTTTTACGAGTGTGTAATTAGTACGCGTGTACGTTACAGTGATGCCCGACTAGTTTTAAATACCGGAGTACTAATTAATGAGTTTGCCTTCGTTCTACTTTGTTTCTACCGGTTTGTTTACTACACTAAAACTATCGATTGATATAGGAAAACTACAAAATAATACTACTAACATGAGAACCGATCTAACAAAGATACATTCGAACGAATTATCAACAATTATGACAATAAAATTGATTTTTGAAATCAATTACATAGTAATTGTCCAAGTCTAACAGTGTTTGATGTGGATCACCAATGTTGGCGTGCGTTCGTGGAGTTGTATTTGCGCCCTTATGACGTAGGGGATTAAGTTAATGTGGAGTGCAGATAATGTGTTTTAGCGTGGGTGCACCGACAAGTGTTAGTGGTAATTATGTGACAATGAATGTAATTACACTGTGACGCCAGTACTGTAGTCCGCGGATCTTGTGCGTGCGAGTGGATTACTAATCAACGTTTTGTTGTGTCGGTCGGGGGGAGTTTTTTCATCCCTAATTAGTGATGAGTTTTCATTATTTTAATGGGTTTGCCATCAAAATTGGTATTTGATGTTTTTAATGAATGCATTGGGGTTTTACCTGTGATTATTGGCTTATGATTGTTTGATATCTACATAGTTAGATATACGTTTTGTCTGTTATTCAAATATAATTATGCTTTTAGTCTTCGAAGGTACTATAAAAGTAACTACAGATAATAAATAACTGTAAGCAATTGGATCTCATTATATGTACATTTCTTGATACGATATTCAAAGCTGCGATCTCTTTATTGTAAGTTTAATCCATATTTTAAATAGATTTCCTAATCAAAAAGATATACCTAGTGCACTATGTGGCCACCTACTTATTGCATTTATCCTTAAAGGTATTCCCCAAGTCCAATTCTTATACTTTCCTTAAGTAATGCATGTAAGAAGGTGACGAATCAAGAATGCAAAACCAATTATTATGTTTAATTAATAATTAATTTGTTTACAATTTTACCGCTAACCAGGTAGGTAAGTAATAAAATTGTAATTAACTGTATTTACGTAAATAATGGATTTAAATACTTTATTCTTATAAGTAAAGGAAACTGTCTGACCTAAATATATGCAACACTATTCGGGAAAGATTATAGTTCAAATAATTTTCTGACTAACTTTAATGATAATTAATGAAACATAATAAGTTAAAATAATTTTTAATTTAAATTGTAGGGGTTAGGTAGCGCATAGAACACACACTGTAATAACATAAGCGTATAAACATGTAACCGCATTGTCCACGTCAGTCACTCGTCGCCTGTATTATAATAGAGGCAATATATATTCAGTATAGGTACACCAGTAACGTCTGTTTTATTTATTACTACATAATATAAAACAAAGTCGCTATCCACCGTCTGTCTGTCCCTATGTATGCTTAGATCTTTAAAACTACGCAACGTATTTTGATGCGTTTTTTTTCAATAGACAGAGTGATTCTTAAGGAAGGTTTATATGTATAATATATGCATATTGCACCCGTGCGAAGCCGAGGCGGGTCACTGATCCTATAAAGAAATACCCTAAAGTGGTAAGAAAAGTTAATTATTCTTTCAAAAGCACAACCTTGACACTGCAAAATGTAATTTAAATGTAAAAGATATAGAGCACAATTTTCGCAATTTCCCGTTCATCATCCTTCAACAAATGTCACAGATTAAATAAAATATATTAACAAATGACACACATTAGCTACTGATATCTTAGGAGCGGATCAGCTAGATAATAATCTAGAATTCTAGATAATCTTAGTCTATTAAGGTCAAACACTTATGTCTATTGCAATCTTTAGCTAAGACTGAGATAATTAGGTAACTATGATTAAATGTACAACTTAAATTAAACCTTATGGGACCCTGATAGGTTAGATATTCCATGTAACTAGCCAAATCGCATTGTATGGGGGCTACTGTATTTTTGCTCACCACATTGCACTTAATGTGAATCTCTCGTTCTTCGCCCAATATGGTTTAATATTTGACAACTGCTAGGCCATTTTCTTGAAGAGATAAGCCGATAAACGAGCAGGCGGATTACCTGATGGTAAGCAATCGGCGTCGCCCTTGGAGACCTGGAACGCCAGAGGCGTTACGCATGCGTTACACATGTATCTCCTTTGACGTTGCGGGTGCCCATAGGTGGCGCTGATGGATTATCATCAGAAATTAGATCCGTCTGCTCATTTACTCCAAATCCTTTAAAAGATATGAGCTTCTATGTTCAGTAATGAATAGAGATGGAGTGATGATGGCGATGATGTAGTCAATCAGTTGTAGTTCTTTTCTTGCACTTGAAAATCTAGAATTAAAGTAGGTTATCGATGGCAGCGTCTTTTTCAAAGGTTTCTAAATTTTCCTGTACCTATATTCAACGTCCTACATATCTACCATGCATGTCCAGAATACACATTAAAAATACTTATTCATAATGAATTCGGCGTAAAACTACGTAACTATTAACAATACAAAACATCGACTTTTCTTGGAACATTATTATTTTAATTCCACTGTCATTTAAACTCGATTCACATTTAATTAGTACGTATGTTAATTAATTTGATGACTAATGCCCCCACGTGAGTCGATCACGCGAATATTATCGTTTTTAACACAAAAAGTTGTAAAAACAGATGCTATCAACCGGGGTAATGTCCTTTATTACACGTAATTATGCAGCAAGTGCACAACTGATGATATGCTTGGGGAAATACATTTGATATCAGACAATAGTGTATGAAAAGTTTTATTGAATGAATCCAAGAAATTATTTTATAATTATCGGAAGTAATTGTCCAACGGTTGATGCGTAGTGTAGTGTACAATTGCGGTGGTGCTATTTATGAATAATATAAGATGGTATTGTTAGGAATTACTTTGTTTTATTTAGTCATTGTAGTCGAGGTAGTACTTCAACACGTTGCATCATAAAATGAAATTAAACGTTACTATAAAAAAAATATTCTTTGCGATAATAAAGTGCTAAAACTTTATGGTAAGAATATAATCCTAAAATCAACTAGAAAATGGTTAACTATGGTTCTTTTACATAATTTTGATATTCATTCAGTCACCAAACTTAATTTCCAAACGTAAAATCTTTTAAATCTACTCATATCGCCATCTACCGTCAATGAAGAGAACTATGTGAATTCTTTTTACCATGTAAGCGATGCCAGGCATAAACTAAAACAAAATAAGTACGTTTATAAACTGACACAATTTAATTAACTAAATACAAAGTGATTTAAAATTAAACGAAACATTCAGTTCCAGTAAATGTGGCTGACATTGGTATTTCATTAGTTAAATGCAATTATGCATCGGAATTTAATAGAGAATTAGTATTAAACTATTTTGTGATTGAGTGCTAAAGTTCTTTAAGAACTTTTTTGGGTAAAAGTTCTTTGTTTGTTTTTGAATTAGGATAGTTTATAATTTTAGAAATACTTTTAAAATTAGTGCAATATTTTAAAGGCGATGCAAAACATAATTCATCAATCAACCACAAGGAATACCTTGTGGTAAAATCAATGAATTGTTCAAAGAACTATACGAACGTATACGCAAGGATTATACAAATAAGTTTAGGGTAACAATTGTCATAATTATAGATAGGTATTTTTCGATTCTGGGACTTAACCTAGGTTCCGGGTTTCCCGATGACAACAAACAATTTCTTCTTTCCTTCATAATACTAACTTCTATAATTAGTCTTAGCCAGAGTTATTACCTAGATAAGTATAGTCAGAGGCCTAATGAGGAAAACAGGTACTTCAGACCATTATCTACTTTAATAAGGTATTTAATGTTAATTATATACCGGATGTAATGTAAGTCGTTGTTACTGATATAATAACATAAATAATACCATGTTCACGCACTTTATATACAATTTTCTGGTGTTGGTAGTGCGGAAAAGGAATATTAAAAATTAATGTTGGTTGCGCGCGCGACGTTTACGGTACCCTTCTTCGTTTAGATTTGATTTTAAATTAAAATTTGTGTTAGGAACTGCCTCGTTTGTCCTATGACTATACAGTACGAAGTCTTAAGTCCTACTAAAGTTGAAAAAGTAATAAAGGCTGTTTTATTTTCGAAATTAGAACTGTTTTGAAAATTGGAACTGAACTCGAATTTAGAACAGTATCTGTTAGCTTTAGCCTTTAAAACAATAGGAAAAGAGGATGCATCACAAGTTAAACTTCTTTTATGTAGAACTAAATAATGAAATAAGGCGCTACTACACATCTCAAGACTCCTTCTAAAGCAAACAAGCTAGATAAGTCTGTTATCTAAAATCAGTACGACAAAAAGAAATAACGGCCAATGTCTCCTTACTCGATTAGATTTATTACTACAGAAACGGGAAAAATCAACAGATAATAAATGTCTTGATTAAAAACAAGTAGAGCATTCTGGTTTAGTCCGGTTGCACACAGACTTGCGACACTCACACACGCGTAATGTATGTAGTTAAATGTGTAATTGCTTTTGTATTGCTACTGAACAACCTCTTTGGATATTTTGTCCGTTGATGTTACATTTTCTTTTGGCTTTTTGATAATATGCATTGTTTTGGATTCAGTTGTATATTTTACCTGAAGTGGGTTATTAGAGGGACAGAAAACTTTTAAGGAAGCTACATCTTATAAGTATGTCTACTTACGATCTCTCTATTGCTAGCTAGCTACTTCCCCGCGGTTTCACACGCTGTGCTCAGCTCCTATTGGTCGTAGCGTGATGTTTAACCTCGCGTTATATGGTAGCCATCCACAAATAAACAAACAATAAAACAAACTCTTCCGCTTTATTTAATAGTATAAGATATGTATACCAAATAACTTGGTAGATGATACATTTGATTATACTAGTAACA